ATCCTCATATACTGCAGGGGGGACTGCAAATTGGTACAGCCACCATGGAAAACAGTATGGAGGTTCCTCAAAAAAACAAGAATTGATCTGCCATATAAAACAGTCTCTGCTGTGCTGGATCTTTACCCCAAAGACTTGAAAAACCATATCCCAAAAGATATTTGCACAGCGATGTTCATAGCAGCATTATTCACAGTGGCCATGGAAGCAACAGAATGATGGACATGGACTATAGGCTAGTGGTTACCAGAGGACTATAGACTAGTGGTTTCTCGTGGGGTGGGGGGAGGAGGGAGGAGGTACACGGGGTAAAGAGCATCAAATATAGGGTTTAGGGGGAGGGCGAAGTGGGTAAAGGGGATCAAATATATGGTAGCTGAAGGAAATTGGACTTTGGTGGTAAACACACAATAGAATATATAGGTGTCAAATGATAATGAATACTTGAAAATTATATAATTGTATTAACCAATGTCACCCCAATAAACTTAATTAAAAAATAAACCCCCCAAAACAAAACAAAACAAAACAAAACAAAGGAACCCTTAAAGGAACCAGGGAAACCTTTGAGAAGTATTCATTTACATATAAGTAACAAAGAGAAATAATTGGACAAAAGAAAGGAAATGGCAGGAAAAGATAATGTGAAGATAATAAACAGAAACCTCATTTAAATTGGAGTTTTGAGGGCCTGTAGGGGGAGCTTTCACTCACCACTCATAGTCCATTACTCAAACAGGAAGGAGTTTTTCTGCTCAGCTACTCCAGCAGGAAGAAGGAAGATCTTTTCCTCATTTGGCAGCCACTCAGCCAATGAAAAGCCACTACACTTGGAACTCCCAGTCTCCTCCAAGAGACTCCGTGTATGAGTGCCCCTCTGAACGCCTCCTTTCCTCTCTGAAAGAAAGTTCCTCTCCTTTGTTCTCTGGACTTGCTTGTGGTTCACCATATGCCCTGAATTGCAATTCTTTGTTGTTCCTGAATAAACCCATTTTCCTGAGGGTGGGGCAGGGAAGTGGGCAGAAGACCTGAAAAGACATTTTTCCAAAGAAGACATAAAGATGGTGAACAGGTATATGAAAAGGTGCTCAACATCACTAATCATTAGGGAAATACAAATCAAAGCCACAATGAGACATCACCTCACACCTGCTAGAATTGCTATCAAAAAAAAAAAAAAAGACGAGATAAATATTGGCAAAAATGTGGAGAAAAGGGAACTCTCGTGCGCTGTTGGTGGGAATGTAAATTGGTGCATCCACTATGGAAAACAGTATGGAGGTTTATCAAAAAATTAAAAATATAACTACCACATAACTCTGCAATCCTACTTCTGAGTATATATCTGAAGGAAATGAAATCACTATCTTGAAGAGATATCTTCATCATGCATTATTTACAATTGCCAAGACATGGAAAGAACATGTCTTCATCGATGAATGAATGGATAAAGAAATTGTGAGATATATGTATGTATAAATATTATTCAGCCATTAAAAAGAAGGAAATTCTGCCTTTTGTGATGACATAGATGGACCTTGAGAGCATTATGCTAAGTAAAATAAGTCAAATAGAGAAAGAGAAATACTGTATGATCTTGCTTACATGTGACATCTAAAAAAGCTAAATTCATAGAAATAGAGAGTAGAATAATGACTGCCAGGGGCTGGAGGGTGGAGGAAATGGAAAGATGCTGGTCAAAGGGTACAAATTTCCAATTGCAGGATGAATAGATTTTGGGGATCTAATATACAATATGGTGACTATAGTAAACTATACTATATTTTTATACTTGAAACTTGGTAAAAAGTAGATCTTAAATGTTCTCATACTCTCCTACCGTCCAAAGGTGGTGGAGATATTCGATATTCACTAACCTTATTGTGATAATCATTTTATAATATATATGTGTATGATGATTTCATTATGATGTACACCTTAAACTTTCAAAATGTTATATGTTAATTATGTTTCAATAAAACTGGGGATCAAAAAGTATTGTTCATTACAGATAAATGCATTTGAAAAGAAACCAGCCCATCTATCTCATTAGAGCTATAATTTCAATAATAGTTTTACTTTTAAACAATTATTTAAATTTACAATATATTTGTTTTGATTGTAATGATAATTCAATGCAGAAGAAAATTTTAATAAGAGCTTTTTTGTCATAGGAAATAAAACAGATTTAAAAGTTTGATATATATCTATATATACATATTTTTGTTGCAGAGAATTATTACAAAATGATAAAAGTAATTATAAACTGATAAAAGCCTTTTGTGCATATATTACTTTAGAATATAGTTCTCTAGAGTAAGTGGAATGGAAATATAAGTTCAAGAAGATGAAAGAATGATAAAATTTCTGATGTAAATGAAAAATTGGTTTATGTATTTTTACAGCCAGTGTTGACTACTCCTCCCACCCTTTTCCTCTCCTGTACCTACTGCATATTTTTGCCTAAAACTTTTAAGAGGTGTCCAAGAAAAAAGTTTAAAGACCACTGGTTAATCCATTCTTTCAAAAAACTTGGGTCTACGGCCATGCCACCCTGAATGTGCCCTATCTCGTCCGATCTCAGAAGCTAAGCAGGTTTGGGCCTGGTTAGTACTTGGATGGGAGACCACCTAAGAATACCGGGTGCTGTAAGCTTTAAAAAAAAAAAAAGAAAGAAAAAGAAACTTGGATGTGTAACGAAGAAGAAGAGAGAGCAAAAGGGAGGTTTACATCAAAGGAGATTTTATTTTTTAAGATGGGAGATTTGAGCTTGTGCATGTGGTATCATTCCTACTTTTCAGAAAAGAGAGGCTTAGAGAAGCTATGATTTTATTCCAAATGAGGAGACTCTGCAGCACAACCCAAGTAATACAGTTGACCCTTGAACAAACTGGGTTTGAACTGTGGAGGTCCAGTTATACATTTTTGAACCTGGGAGTCTGTGGATGCAGAGGGCTGTGTATATACATTGATCTACACCACCTTATATAGGGGACTTGAGCATCCATGGATTTTTGTATTTGAGGAAGTCCTGGAACCAATCCCTCTCACCTGCAGATACTGAGGGACAACTAAGTTTTTGGGGAGTCAAAAGTTATACAAGGATTTCTTTGACTGCACAGGGGTTGGCACCCCTAACCCTTGAGTTGTCCAAGGGTTAACTGTGTATCAGTCAGGATAGGCTAGGTTATGCTGCAGCAATAAGCACCCACTAGAGCTCAGTAAAATTAACATCTCAAATTTATTTCCTTCCTTTACTGCACATCCTAGTGTGGGTTGGCAGTGAGTCTGCTCATCTCCACCACTCAGAGACCCAGAGTAACAGATGATGGCTTCAACTCCACAGTCAGGGCAGCTGATAGAAAGAGATATGGCTTAGTTTTTTAAGTTGGTGGGAAGTTAACACGTGTTACTTATATGTTTCAAGTGGGTCAGAGAAGTGCCAATCGAATGAGGTACCTAGAAAGGGAAAGGGCTGGAAATTTTGATGAGCAGTGCTAACAGGTACGTTTTACCTGTCATTTCCAGTATGGGAAATGGTCACAAAGTTGTATTATCTGGCACTATTTTGAGATCAAGTAAGATGGGGGTAAAATAAAATATAAGACATTGTTAGTTTATTTCAACAGATCAGAGAGATGAGTTCTGGTCTCTGATGCTTAGTTATTGCTCTGTAAGCCTAGAAGTTCCTTTGCCTCTTTGGGTCTTTGTGGAGGAGCTGACGCTTTTGCAGTTCCACCATCTTCCGCTTGTAATGCGTTTAGGACTGTAATAAGAGTTAGAAGAAAGCAAGCCCAGCCAGGACCAGGAGTGCTAGCTACAAAACACTTCCTAGTAGTTTCGCACCGATGCATGTTGGGTAATGTGCTTTCAGCCAGCAGAGAGCGGTAAGGCGATATCAGCAAAATCCTGCACTGTAATAGCGGTTTTTAAAGTCTAGGGTCACTAAGTTTTGCGCGTTAGAATCGTGTTTTTTGTTTGTTTGTTTTTTAATACCCGTGCTGGGGCTGCACCCCAGACAATGAAACCAAACCCTCTGGGAGCAGAGCCCAAACACTGGTATTTTTAAAGAGCTTCCCAGCTTTAGGCATGGGTTATTCTTTAATCCCTACTGCCTGTTAGAGGGGCTGGATGACACCTAGTGGGCGCATTCTCTTAAAGAGTCCTGGAATCAAATCCTCTCTTTTTCTTCTCCCAGGAGTTGTCAGGTTTGCATTTTAATGGGGCGGGGGCATCAAACTAGAGGAAATCTTTGGGACACCAGCCGGCTCCTCGCGGCTTAGGGCGCGCTCACTTCCCAGCGCCGGAGGCTGTGGTGAGGGCCAGCTCTGCCCACAGCGCGCCGCTGACCGGGTGGTGGCGGCTCTAAGTCAGCTTTCAGCAGAACCGGAGAAAGGAAAAAGCGTAGACCACCACGAGGAGAGGAAGAGGCAGCGACGGAGGCGGGGTGAGGAAGAGCTAGGGAGGAGCCGGAGGAAACGTAGCCGCGAGAGGGCGGTCCCTGGTGTGGTCCTGCTTCCGGACGGCGGCCTGGTCACCATGGCAGGCCTGGACATCGGACTGACTGTGCCCGTGTGGCTGGCCGAGGACGACCTGGGCTGCATCATCTGTCACGGGCTGCTGGCCTGGCCCGTCACGCTCCCCTGCGGCCACAGCTTCTGTCGAGACTGCCTGAAGGGCCTGTGGGGCGCGAGGCGTCACTGGTCCTGCCCCACCTGTCGCGAGGGCGCCGCGCAGCAGCTGGACCTGCGGAAGAACACACTGCTGCAGGACCTGGCTGACAAGTACAGCCGGGCGGTGGGCGAGCTGGAGGGCGGCCAGGGCCGGACTCCGATTCCCGCCCCCGACCCCGCCCCCGGGCCGCAGCGCCGCACCGCTCAGCTGCGGGTAGGGTGGCGGGACTGGGGCTCCCCTCTCTCCAAACAGATCGCACTGCTTGCACCCTTTTCTCTGCACGGGTCTTTCTCCTTTCCTCATCCTTTCTATTTTCAAATTACTTTTTTCCATCTAAAAGTAGAACCCACTCTTCGGTAAGTTCAAAAAAGTATGAAGAAGCAGGAAAAACAATCCATTCTCCTGAAACCTTGTCAATACACGTTGGTATATTTCCGATTCTTTCAAGTCTTTTCCCTGTCGGTCTCTGTCTCTCTGGAATTTTTTTTATTGTGGTAAAATATATATAACATGAACTTTGCCATTTTAAGCATTTTTAAGTAGACAATTTAGTGGCTTTAGTTAGATTCACAGTTGTTGTACAACCATCACTAGTATCTATTTCCTGAACTTTTTCATCACCACAAAGAGAAACTCTGTAACCCGTTAAGTAATAACTTCTCAACCTTCCAGCCCTTGGTAACCTCGAATCTTTTTGTCTCTATGAATTTGCCTGCTCAAGATATTTCATATAAGTGAAATCATAATATTTGTCCTTTTGTGTCTGGCTTCTTTAACTTACCATGTTTTCAAGGTTTATTCATGTTGTACGGTGTATCTAAACTTCATTCCTTTTTGTGGCTGAATAATATTCCCTCCTATGTATATATCACATTTTTTAAAAAATCCATTTATACATTGATGGACATTTGGATTGTTTCCATCTTTTCATTATAGTGCATAATGTTGCAGTGAACACTGGTGTACAAGTATCCGAGTCTCTATTTTCATTTTTTTGGTTCAGTACCTAAGAATGTATTTATTTGCAGGGTCATAGTCTAATGCTTTGTCTAACTTACTGAGGAACAGTCAAACTGTATTCCATAGCAACTACCCCATTTTACATGCCCATCAACAAAGTAGGAAAGTTCCAATTTTCCTTAGCTTTTGCTCCTGGGACTTAGGTCATTTATTGTATGTTTCAACCATGCTGTTTTGTCCCAGACATCTACCTGTTTGTTTGTTTGTTTATTGACATCTGCCAGTTTAGTTCAGCTTGTAGCATTCACGAGCCATGCCCACTGCCTTTCTGGCCTGAGTTAGGTGAGCACCCTGTACCATCCCTTCAGGCAGCCCCCAGACAGGTTAGTACAAACATACAGGACAATTTGTGAATAAGGTCTGCTCTGCTCCTTCCAGAACCAGGACCAGGGGCCCATGCTGAGAATCTTGAATACTAGCATTGAGGTAGGGTGTGGGGCAGGACAAATAAAAACACCACAAAGCTTTCCTACTGCCAGGTTGCTCTTTTTTAATTCAGTGTTTTTTAGAATTCTGACAGTTGGTTCTGACGGTTTCTGCTTGTTTTTTATGTTTTACTCTGTGTGTGTGTCGTGGGGTAGGATGAGAGCTCGGAACTGCCTAGTCTACCCTTTTGCTGTTCTCTGCAGTATTTTTAAACAGTTGAGGTCATGTTGGATAGCCAGGTTGTGTCCTCTTTTCATTTTTTTAAATTTAATTAATAGACTTTTTTAGAGCAATTCTAAGTTTATAGAAAATTGAGCAGATAGTGTAGAAAGTCCCCAAATAACTCTCACAATTTCCCCTATTATTAACATTGAAATCATATAGCAAAACGTGATATTTTGAGGGACGTCAAGCCTATTAAGAGATAAAAAAGGTCCCAGGTCAATTCCAGTTTTTGAGTTTCCAGCAAAATTTAAAATGTGAAAAAAGGCAAAATAAACTTATAAAAACTCAGGTTTATTTAGAGTTGAATGATGAACACCTTATATTTCTGTGACTCTACGTAGAAACCCTTTTAGAGGTGACCCGAAGTTCTCCATTGAGGTGTGTGTGCAGCCTGCCTCTGATGACTGTCACCAGGTCTTAAGGTTGTTGCCAGATTATGTTGGCTGTAAAACGTACTCCCACTCTCAGCCAGGCGGCTGAGTAGATAAAGCTCTTTAAGTGGAGTTGTTTAGTACTCTCTTCTGAATATACATATTTTTTTAATGTGAAGGATGTCAATAAACAAAAAGAGCTTGCACCTATACATAACTTTAAAGTCTCCAAGATCCTTTCACAGTGAACAGTTAGGTAGATCCGTTTTATTATGGAAGAAAAGAGGGGATAGTCACTTTCATTTTTGAAAGGAGTGATGAGGGCACAAGATGAGCCAGAGGCAAGAGCCAGACCCTAAACCTGAACCAAATGCCATCTACTGCACCACTTACTTTATCAGCTGCCACCTACCCTGCCAAATCTCCAGGCTCTCACCCTATTTCTTCTCTGACTTGTCCTGTTCAAAATGACCCCTAGGCTTCCCTTCACACTTTACTCCCATCTCCCCTGCCCCCATCCTGTAGATGGACTTTGGTTTCCTGTTATGGCCACTGGACAATCAGTAGGGGAAATGGGCATACAAAAGGTCTGAGAGTCTGCCTCCTTGTCCTCTGAATATTTTTGTCACTTCCTTGCTTTATCCAGTCTTCATTCTCCGTTCAGAGCTGATTCTTGGGTCCAGCTTTGTGTTCTGTTTTGCTCTTTTAAAGGCGGTGGCATCGAAGAGCATCACAGAAGTTGATCACAAGCTGGCAGAGCTGGTGGAACAACTTGTAGACATTGTCAGGAGACTTCAGAGTCAGAGACACCTCCCAGAATCTGGACCAGACAATAAAATGAACACCCTGGGCATGGTAGGCTCAGCTGGGAGATGAAAGGATGTGGCAGGGGGCGGAGCTAGGGAACACTTTCCAAATGGAGCAACATGAATATGTTTGCAGTTGAAGGATGCAATAAGTCTCAATTTTTTTTTACCATTCTCTTTACTACCAAAGAGGAATGACTAAAAGTGTGGAATTCTTTAGGTGAGGTAGGGGAGCTTCAAGCAGCCCAGGTCCTATTCTTATCACTCTACCTAACCAGCTCGAAGGTCATCAATGGCCTCTTTATAAATCCTGCAGACATTCTAGTCTTCATCTTCATTGACCTTTCATCATTCTTCGACACAGTTGACAACATCTTCATTCTTGAAACTTTCTTTTCCCTCAGCTTCTGCAACACAAGTCTTCCAGCCTTCCCCTGTTTCTCTCTGGCTGCTCCTTCTCAGTCTGTTATGCAGGCTCATTCTCCTCTACTCAGCAATGAAATGCCTCGAGGCTGAGTTGTAGGTCACTTTCTCTTTCC